GCTCGGGCCTCCCGCTGGAAGCGGCACCGCATGGCCGGGCAGGGCGGCCTCGCCGTGTCCGGGTGCCACTAAGCGGGCTGGCAAAAGGGGCCCTGTGGTTTAGGGGCTCCACACCTGCCCTGCGTGGCTTGGGCTGCATCCTCCATCTGGAAGCCTTTCTGGAAAGGGAAATAGAGGGGGAAAAAAAAAAAACAGGTGGACTCTCCCCCCTTCATAAATAAAATCCAAAGAATATCCCATTTGTCAGGAATCCCCTCTCAAGGCTCTCTTTCCAACACTTGGGCCAAATACTTGAGTGAAATCCTGCAGCAAGTTGCCGCTTTTAGGCACTTTTAAAAAGTTCATGTTTATCTTAGAATCATTATGGTTGGAGAAGACCTTCAAGATCGAGTCCAACCATAAACCCTTCAACACCACGCGTGCTAAACCCTTCTATCCTGGGATGACAGCAGTGATTAAAATAAATAAATAGAAAGCATCCTTGTTCAGAGATAGGCCATCCTGCTGGAATTCAGCTAGGCAGATCTCATGCCAAGGGTTCCCCTCACCACCACCACCTCCCAAAAAGAAAAATATATATATTTATACATATATCAGCACTGTGAGTTTCAGTAACAAGCTGAAAGGTATTTTAAGTTGAAACAGTTAACTTTTTAATCTTTTAAACAGCATTGTGTTATATGCTATCAGAATTTGTAGTAGAGTTACAAGTCATATGCTCCTGGCTGCAGGTTCCTGCTCACTGTCAGGTGTCCTGACTCATTCTTGCAGCAGGGCAGAGGATCAGTTGGAGCAAGAACTTGGCCTCCCAAGAGGATGCTTCGCATCTGTGTTGGCCTTGCACCACACAGGACAAAGCCCCAGATGCCAGGACTTCTCACCAAATGAGCCTGCAAAAGGAGAACATCAAGTTTCCCACTTTGGAATTGCAGTTTCTGCCATGATGAGCTGGATTTTCCGTGGTAGATCTCCACATCCAAGTGTTTTGGGTTCCCCCCCTGCACCACCACGACTGTATTTCACAATATCTTCTTATTGTTCCTTACATTCCACCTCTTAATTATCTCCTCCTTCCCCTTTCACAGCTCCAACTGAGACAGGAGAGCAATTTAACCTGGAGCCACTGAGCGGCTGCCAGAAGTCGAGTTCACCACTTGTAGCACTCGCACGAAGCGGAAACATCTGTTCCAAATATGTGTGCAGAGAACATAAGCCTGTCTGAAACCTCACAGCTGCAGTGCTGCAATGGGCTCTTTTCCAATTTACACTGCTGAGCGCGAGGGAATGGACTTCTCATTCGCACCACCCTCAATATTCCCAAACAGCTAGAAACAGCACATTTATTGAAGCACTGGACCCTAACGCAGTTAGAAACTTTTCTCTAGAAACATTTTTAATGCCCCAGGGCACCCTGATTTGCTATTTGATTCATGCTGCCCCAAATTCCTGACATTTCTTAAGCAAACAACAGGAACTAAGATCTTGTCTTCAGATCCCTTTTCTAAAGCTGCTGCTTTTGTTTCCTTTGGGAGGGGGAAGCTGGGGAGGGAGGGGGGGGGACGAGTCAATTAATTTCTTCCCTGTCCCTGTTTTCCCCATTAGTAGGGTTCAAGTTTAAAACTCAATTCCCAAACAAGAGGAGGATTTGTTGTTTTTACAATATGCTAAGTGGTAAATAAATAATTGCTCCAAAATGAACAGCCCTGTTTATTTCCTATATAACGATCCAATTAGCAGTCATTTAAGAAAAATGCCAGGTGTGAGTATAGTGACTAAGGGATATTCATGGTTGTTACTAGTAGCATGAGCTGCTTTGGAGAACCAGAACCCAGACCTAGTAGCAGCAAGCAGAAAGGTGCACGAAATGCACTGAGCCCGGCCAAGGTGAAGGGCGCTGCTCTTCCCGTGCTGGGCTGGACAACAGCTCCATCCATCACGTGCCTAAGACAAATGCTGCTGTCCTGCTGCTTCCTTTACCCCCATCCATCACTGTTCAGGCAGGGCTGGTTTTATTTTGTAGAGGTGAGTGTTAAAACTCCCCTGTGATAGTGACAGCTACCAAACGTGGAACCCCAGAGGGTTGTTTGACTTGATCCTAGGAGAGCCCCATGAGTAGGCTTAGTCCCTCCCAACAATCAGTCCTATGTAGCATCCCCAAAGAATCTCCTGCTCCGCATAGTCTCTCCGAATTCACAGGGACGTTCTGGGCACACTCAGCAGGACACCACCTCCCTCCCTGGCTTGGCAGTGACTGTGCCCGGCTTCCAGAAGATGTTCGCTTGGATATTGTCCAGCCAGGGAGGCAGAACTGACAACAGCTATAAATACATCTCTGAATCAAGGGAGGTAGGAGTCACTGTCATTTCTTCCCCACGCTGGGCTGTGATCTGAAAAACAGCGCTCCTCATTTCGGGGAGAGCTAGAGTGCCTTAGGAAAAAGCTCCAGAGCAGAGAACACATCTTATCTATGTGGAGGGCTATGCGAGCAGACAGCGCTAATTGCTTTAGCCAATATTACTGCCTCATCATGGCTTCGCTGTCTGCAGGAAACGGGCACCCAGTCGCTGCCACATTAATGCTCTGAGTCATGCAAAGTTGACTGAAAGCCTCATTGAGCTCCATTTGTTTTCCTGTTTCCAGCAGCGCTCCCAGTTCCGCATCAATCCGAAAGGATTAACGGATCCGCCGCGTCAGCCTCGGGCAGGGGCACGGGGCTGCGTCCTGCCAGGCTCCACACAATGCGGCTCGCCGGAATACGCAGCGTTTTCCCGTTCATCGCACAGACACGCGGCTCCAGGCAGCTGGAGGACACGGATTTGCAGCAAACACTGCCCTAAACCAAAGCCCAGCAGTAGCATCTTTTTCTTTGTTCTGCTATTCCCTTTCATGCAGTTCTGCCCTGCAAAATCCGAGCGTTATTCAGGCTTGCAGATGAACTGTTTGCAGTAGTTTTATGCGCAACTTTGCCCAGGGTAGTGAAGCAGAACCTGGTAGAAGTGTAGGGGAAGACCAAAGTACGCTGAACAGAGAGCACCCTGTTCCCTTCCCAGCGTGACACAGAGCAGAGCTGACCCTCGGGAGCAATCACGGATTAACTCCCACAGCCACTTTGGAGGGCAGGATGACCCTTTCCCAGCTGCTACACTAAAAAAAAGCCTGCAGACAACCCAGAAAGGCTTGGCCTGAATGACTTAGACTATTACCATCATCCCTCCTTAACAGGGCAACATTTTACCAATACCAGTCCTCTAATTTGCCTTGCTTTCCCACCTCACTGCAACACCTTCTGGAGAAGGTTCTCCTCTCAGACCTCCATGCACCGTCTTGCCTGACTTTATCTACTAAGCCCACTCCCTAAGAGCAAGGGTGAGACACTTAAAAACTCTACTCACCAGGAGAGTTTCCAGAGAGGAAGCACGTGAGGATTACTGGGCTTCACACCAGACCTTTATAATCTCATTAAATTCTCCTTAATGAGAACTTCTTCACCTGTGCCCATCTCCTTCCCATGTGTTTGCACCTACCCTTTTC